TGGAAGGCGATAAAGTGTCTGATGCTATGACTTCTGAGCAATGTGTCCCTGAGGTCCCGACACTGCAACAGGGAATCAACAAATTAATACATTCTCACAGATTGGAAAGAAATAAGTAACATTATGGCTGTTCACGGTCAACATTATTATATATGTAGAAAACTTCTAACAAATATTGAAAGGGAATTTAGAAATTTGGGATGCATGATCAATAAAGACAACATGGTCCTATATACCTTTAAAAATTGAAAATTAAAATTAAGACACTTTAAATATGTCATTTACAACATCATAAAAAAGTAGTATCTACTAGAGATATATCTGACTGAAGATGAAGAATTGTACATTGAGAAGTAGAAATTAAAATAAGCTCAAAATACATTCAGAGGGACAATATGCTCTTGGCTCAAAAGATTCAATAATGTCACCAAGTCACATCTTCCCACAATTAATCTATAAATTCAACCTGCTTCTACTAAATATTTTTGTAGGCTTTTTTTTTTTTTTTTTTTTTACAAAACTATCAAGTAGATTCAAAGATTTATGTAAAAGCACAAAGGTCATAGAACATTCTGAAGTAGTTAGGGTCAGACAGCATTACTGAAGAACCCACAGAAAGGAGAACCATAGTAAGGACTAGAGAGATGGCTCAGCAGGTAAAGAACCCATCACACAAGTATAAGGACATAAGTTTGCATCCAGAACCCAAGAAAAAGCTTGGCGTGATTGAGTGTATCTGTAATCCTAGTACTGTGGGTGGCAGAGACAGGAGATCCCTGGAACTCACCGGCCAACCAATCTAGCCAATCAATGAATTCCATGCTTGAGGAGAGACCCTGTCTCAAAAGACAAGGAGGAAAGCAGTAGGAAAAGATGCCCAGCATCAACCTCTGGCTCCCACATGCATTCACATACAGATGTACCTGTATGCACACGTGCAGACTCACACAAACATACACACATATGGACTACCCACAAAAACACTGAAATCCCACTTGTAACCCAATTATAGCAGCTAAAATGATAAAAAAAAAAAAGTATAAGAACTCCTCAAATGAATAAGATCATATGAGGTGTGAGCATGAATGTGGAACAGGCCAAGTTTCTCTTTGGAGTGCAGTGTGTCAGTATCTTGGAAACATAAAACTGTATTGCCTGCAGTACAACCTGTTCATTTCATTAGCCCAAGAATCAAAAAAATATTTCCACATAAAGATGTGTACCCTAGTGTTCAGCCTAGAGTTATTTAGCTCTCTCTCAAAACAAAACAAAAACCCAAAATCCTGACCCTCCAAATGTTCTTCATTAATGTAGTATGCAAATTATGGCACACCATAAAATCAAACTGAGAAAGTATGAACTATCCTACACACAACATGGATGAATCTTAGATAATTATACTGAGTGACAGAAGTGAGACAATAAACATGTGCAATCTCTGTGATTTATTTATGTAAGTCCTAGAAAATGCTACCTAATTTATAGTGACAGAAAGCACACCACTAATTGCCTGATGAGGAGTACAGGTAGATCCATTACAAAGGGGCACAAGGAACCTCAAGGGTGATGGATATGTTCGTTATCTTGATACGGCAATGGCTTCACAGGTACGACAGGCATGTCAAAACTCATCAAGTTGTATACTTTAAATATATGCACTTTATTTTACATCAATTACACTTAATGAAGCTGCAAAAATAAGTATAAAAATGTCCTCTTCTGTGCTCACACACATCAGGGCACGTGCACACATTCAGTATTAGTTTTTGCCAATTCCATCACTACAAGATAGCACCTCATTTTTAAAATTCCACTGAGAACAATCATAGACAATTACTTCTTATATTCCATTCCACCAACACTATTTTCTTACTACATATTACTCCTTATAAAAACTTGTTGATCTATGGTCACTAACATTTAGAAAATACCTACCTGAAATGATAAAGAGCAGTCTAGCCATGTGAAATTTCCCCAATTTTGTCTTTATATCTAGTCAACCTATTAAACCCCCTTTCCTATAAGTCCATTTAATTTTCCCAGACCCCAAAACTATATTTACTGTGTTTCACAGGTGTGAATGTGTGTACCATTTCTTCAATAGGCCACACCACAGATGATTACACAGGGGCCTTACATGTCTTAGAAGACCCATGTAAAGAAAAATCATTTTCACACACACACACACACACACACACACACACACACACACCAAAAAAATTGAAAATGTCTAAAGGGAGTTAGTTGGAGATGCCCAGACATTAAGTTTAATTTCAGTTTAGTGCTTGTTTTGAAGATGCTTATCTAAAGTAACAATGATTATACTAGACTGAAAAGAATAAATCTCTCCACTGTCAAAGTTTGTGCTGTGCCTTCTCTGAAATTAGTTGTGTAATCAGAATACCAGGATCTTGATACAATATGTTCCAGGTAATGAAAAAAACGATGATGGAAATATTCAACAAATAAGTAAAACAGCCTGGGGATGAACATATACAGATGACAGCTGAAACTTAGCTCCTGCGTGCATTCAAAAAGGCTCGTGTTAAGTTTAATACCTCTGACTAAACTGTCAGTATAGACTTATGAAAGCAAAGGGGGGAAATGCTGAGAAGTTAGTGTAGTAGAAAATGTGCTTAGACATTTTCACCATTATCCTTATGAGTGGTAGATGGTCTCTCAGGTGTGAATCCCATTTCTCCTACTTAGAGACCTTCAATTAATGTGTCTAATAGTGTATCTTATATCCACATGCATTTTCTTAAGGAACTTACTTTAAAGAACATTTAATAGCCCTCAAATGAATATCACTGTCATAAAAGTATTCTGAGGCAGCTTTTTCAGAATAACTAGATTTTATAATAATTTACACATAGTGAAAATCATAATGACAGCAGGAGCTACTTCTAGTGGATCAGGCACTATGGTAAGTATTCAATCTTTCCTAGTGATTCACATTAATTGTTTTTTATTCCAGAAAATGGAAGTGTCTGCTCACAGCACACCCTTTCCTTTGCTTAAAGTTTAGAGTGCTCTTTGAAGATGTTCCAGGTATTTCCTAACCTGCTTAACCTCAAGGCATCATTCCTCTCTTTTTCCCTCTTGAAGGACCTAAGTGTTTGGCTTTCTGAGTAAACCCACTAGAGCAGAGAGAAGGTAAAAGCCAAAAGTCATCTTTGTTAACCATCAGATGCCATTAACTTCTCTAAGCAAGCACATTTCCCTGAAAGGAAGGTTGCATAGATCATAATCACCATCATCATCATCATCATCACCATCATCATCATCATCACCACCAACAACAAAACAAATATTGGTGGCTGGGCAAGGGAGAGAGCTCAGAGGAAGAACATTTGCTTACTTGCATAAGGCCCTAAATCCAATCTCCAGCCACACAAATAAAATAAATAAATAAATAAAATAAAATAATTAATTTTTTTAAAAAAAGGCCGGGCGGTGTTGGCGCATGCCTTTAATCCCAGCACTCGGGAGGCAAAGCCAGGTGGATCTCTGTGAGTTCGAGGCCAGCCTGGTCTACAGAGCGAGATTCAGGACAGGCACCAAAACTATACAGAAAAACCCTGTCTCGAAAAATCAAAAAAAAAAAAAAAAAGAAAAAGAAAATAAATGGTGCTTTCTTTGTGCTTTTGACTTTTTGACTGTACCTAACCTGTATTTTTCATACAGCTTCCATAGTCATCTTGCCCTAAACTGATTTTTATACAACACTTCCTAAAGACCATGATCTCTGTCTTGCAGAATGTGGTACAATGACAGCTTTCTTTTATTGATCCTTCCCTGATACAGATAATACAAGCAGCAAAGTAGAAAGAATATTAAAAGAAGACAACTGTAAGAGCAGAGCAGTGAGAGTGATTTGATTGGCCGGCATAATAGTAATAAAAAAAAAGTTCACTTTGGAGGGGTAGAGGTAAGGTTGTTACTCTAAGCTTCTTACAACTGCACCCAGTCTGGACCCAAGAATTATTACTTTCTTACATACATTCTAGATCAGTGGTTCTCAACCTGTGGTTCACGACCCTTTGGGGGTTGCATGTCAGATATTCTGTACATCAGATATCTACATTATGATCCATAATATGAGCAAAATTGCAGTTATGAAGTGGCAATGAAATAATTTTATGGTTGGGGGGGTCACCACAACATGAGGAACTGTATCAAAAGGTCACAGCATAAGGAAGGTTGAGGACCACTGTTCTAGATCCATAGCCTTTTTAAAATATTTACTAATTTCAACTAAGTTCAGAACCCCATTGCTTATAAACTTTTTAATACCAATCTAGATGTGGGCAAAATATATCCTCTGTGGTCGTCAGCTGGATATAAAGCACGGTGCCATTTTTAAAGACGCTTTCAACTCATGAAGAATCACAAACAGCTCTGTGGGACTGCATTCCTCAGCAAGATTTTGCTTTCATATAACTGAAAACTCTGCTATTAATACAGTATTCAAAGATAGACCAAGAAATTTTTATTCTATTTTTTTCTTCCAGAATGTCCATTATGTGCCTTTGACTGGGTTTCTTTACACAGCTGTCAATCTAGCTGCCACAGCCATCAGTGGCCTTAGCAAGCCAAGAAGCCACACTTAACTGGAAATATTAACAAGCAATTTGTACCAATATTGGAATAAAAATAAATTATAAAAAAAATCAGGAAAAAATATAAAGATTTTGAAGGGAGGTGACAGAGGCGTGTTTCCTTGAGGGTACATGGGGCTGATCATTCAAGGGAATTCAGTACATAATCTCCAGAAGCACAGTCACCTCCGATTGTTTTTTCTTGTACACAGAGTGTTTTCCAAATGTGATTCTCCTCCCAATCGGCAACCATCGGTCCACCCTGCTTTCCTTCCGGTAGGGAAAGCCTCCCGGCCGAAGTCCTCATGGGTTGAAGAACCCAGCCCCTACAGCAGAGCAAGCACTGCGTCCTGGCTAGCCCAAGCTCTGCTCCCCGGAGCCCCGGCCATCTCGCCTTACCACAGCACGAGGGAAAAGCTGCAAGAAGTGGAAGAGAAGGAGCGAAGAGCGCGGAGAAACAGGCAGAGAAAACCGGAAGCCTGCTTGCGTTTGCACGGCTCTCCGCCGAAGCTGTGGGTGTTGATAGCATTATTGTTTAATCTCTCTGAAGAATATGTGGGAGAGGAAAGCACAACATCCCCAAGTTGTTACTTTGTCACAACTTTACAGAATACATAAGCACTTCAGTAAATACACAGATTTTTTTCTTTTTTCTTTTTTTTTTTTTGCAAACTGTAAATCATCTGTGAGCCACCACTGTTCGACTAATTACAGCAAGAAGCTGTGCTCATTAGCTGTTCTCATCTGGCTCACTGCACGACCTAAATAGTCCGTAAATGAGCCGGCAATTATTGCTGTATTACCACTACCAGCTCCGCTCACATCAAAATATCTCCACCAAATGTTACGCCTGTTGGTATTATCAGGTTAGAAATTTCATAAACATATTGAAGCAGTTAATTGGGAGATTATTAAAAAAATGTGAAAATAGAATCATCAGTGAAAGAGGTTTCATCAAAGCCCAGATAGGCGGCTCCACCTATAGACAAGAGGCTCAGAATGCAAGCTCTAGGAGGCTCTTGTAGCCTGCCGCTAACCTCTGGGAAATAAGGAAGCAACAGAAATCTACCCACCTCCAACAACAGGAAGGCAAATCATTCATTCTTCCTCCACCTAGAGACTGTCTTCACATGGTCAAAATTAAACAGATGCATGCACTGAGAGGTCTGGGACGGGAAAGAATGTAGAAAGCTGCTAGCTACATCAGGGACTTTATGTTTCCAAATCCATCCTTAAGCATACATACATTGAAGGAGATAAGAATCTGTTGTTGTTTGTTGATACAATTTACTTTAAGAAATGTTTGCATACATATGAACGGTGGAAAGAAATGAACTAAAATAGTTTGAAGAACGATTTCTCAACACCCTCAAATACTTTTGAAGCATCTATTTATAATATCAAATGAATAGCTAATTAGTTGCATTCTTATTTATTCATTAGAATGTCCTCTTGGAGCTTCATTTCAGTTTTGTGGATATTCAGAAGTAATACATTAAAAAATTTTGCTATAATTCATATTTTTCAAATTTATCCAACTTTAATTAACCCAATTTAATGAATTCCTATTGTGAACATTTTCTGCACAAAAATAAGGGATCTCAATATTGGAATGCTTTATCTTGTTTTTCATTATTACCATATCAGATTAATCACTTATTATGATCCTAAAAAATACAGAAGAAATAAAAAATGCTGAAAGTTAATGAGTGTTATGATTCTATTGGCATCTCCTGCCTTATCAGAGAAAATAACAGTTTAATAAATAAGCATTTGATTTGATTCTTGTACTAGTCACATTCATACAAAGGAAAAGTGGTCTGCACTGGGTCATACATTGTCGTTTACCTGGGTCCTATGCTGGCACAGACTGACAGACTTTGGGCAGAATGTAGAATACTATCAATTACTAATCTCTAATGATAATCATAGCAATGACAAGCAATTCTTTTTAAACAACAAATTGACATCTGGACAAAGGAATGTGCACCACATTTGTTCAGCTCTTCCCAACTGTTGATTTTAACAGGGAATCCTTACTCTGATCAGTGAGTAAGAATTATGCTTTCCATGATTGTCACAGTCTTTTGATGTAATATACAGCCATGGCACACTTCAAACTGTGCACTGAGTTATACAGTGCAGAGAACATAGTTTTTCATAACTGCCAAATTCATCAACGCTATTGTTGTGTTCTCTGTGTGGGAGTTATTAACCCATTTTCTTTCTTCTTTAACATCCTTAGAAAGACAGCTCACTTCCCTTCCCACCTTTCTCCTCTGATGGTCTTTGTGCTGGGTAGTTTTGTGGCAACTTGACACAAGCTAGACTTATCTGAGAACAGGGAACCACAACTGGAAAAATGCCTCTGTAAGATTGGCTTATCTGCAAACTATGAGGTAATTTTCTCAATTAGTGATTGATGAGGGAAAGCCCAACCCATTTGTGGGTGATGGCACCCCTAGGAATGTAGTCTTGGCATGTACATTTAAGCAGGCTGAGCAAGCCAGTAGGAATAAGCTGCTAAGCAGTGTTCTTCCACGATCTCTGCCTCAGTTCCTGTATCCAGGGCTCTGCTTTGAATTTTCAATTCCGTGGATGATGGACCACAAACTTTCAGATGAAGTAAACTCTTTCTTCCACAAGTTGCTCTTTGTCATGGTGTTTTATCACAGCAACACATAATGAAGTAAGACAGACTGGCCTTGATACAGAGAGTGGCAGCTACAGAACAATTTTAGCTTCCCCTGGAGAGTTTGGAAATACGAAGTCTACAGCTTTAGTCTAACCCAGAGAGGCAGAATCTACAGCTTGATTGCCTAAGAAACACTGGCTAGGTAAGGGAGCATAGCAGCCCTCGTGGTTCTTTTCCCTTCATAAAAGAAAGGCCAAATCAATGTTCATCCATAAAACTGAAGACAGAACAAAGCAGACACGTGGTCAGGACTGTCAAAACTCACTATCAGTGTTCTCTGTGGGCTTTGTTCAAAGGTCACTCTTTTGTGTTCATGAAAGTATGTTGAATCCTGTGGAAAGCTGATGATAAAGATAATCCATTAACTGTTTGCAATGTAATATCATACCAACTGGCATTTAAAAGTGCCTGTCCTGTGCCTACTGCTACACTCAATACAATGGAGGATTTATAAGCACACTCACCTCTCACCATTGTCAAGGACCTTAGTTTCACTTAGGAGGGTGGTTCCCAGTGTCCTGTCAGTGAGAGCATGATCTTACCAATGTGCCTCCTGCTCACTAGACCCTCTTCCCTTCTACAGCTATAGTTACACTGAAGCTTAGGTGCCAAGTATTCCTAAAATTATCTCAAATTTTCAATTATTTTATATCTATGGTACTATTTTAACATAATATATTCAAGAAGATGTGATCTATTTAAAAAAAATACATTGAGGAATTAAAAGCCTAGGGTTATTTCGTGATTGCTCAAAGCCACCATCAGACTAAGAGGTTGGTTTAAGTGAGGTCTTCTAAAGCTTAACTTTGTATAGCTGTGATACCAATGGAGTTCAGTATGTTTGAGAACATAGTGCATTGTCTACTATTTTGACATCTGGCTCTTCATGGGATCTATGCATCAAACAGCTCTGTGCATATCCCTCAGTGGTAGAAATACACAAAGGATACTAAAGTTTTAGTAGATGGTGTGGAATGATGAAATAAGACTCAAATAGGAAGGTAGAGAACTTCTCTGAAATAACTCTAGAGGGAGGTACTTTTCAAGTCCTTGAGGAAATCAGAGCAGTTCCCAAGAGGAATAAATTCAAGCTGATATGTGTCCTGAATTTTCTAAACAGAACCTCTGCTTGGGACAACATAATTGAATGTCTGCTCATGGAGCTCAGGGTATTACTTTGCTCTAGTTTTAAGGAAGGAGGGGGTGGGAACTAAAGTAGCTCATTATTCCAGCTCATAAGCCTGGTACCATGGAAACATGTACATCTGTTTATGAAGGGAAGAGGGTCTAGTGAGCAGGAGGCACATTGGTAAGATCATGCTCTCACTGACAAGACACTGGGAACCACCCTCCTGAGTGAAACTTCATGACTCCAAAGTTCACAAGTTGCAAAAGACTAGGAAGGATTTTAAATCTCATGGGATCAAGAAATAACTAGAAGTTTGAGTTGTTTTCTGTAAAAATCCATTTCCTTTTAAGAAAAAGGTGAAAAAAAGAGGATGTGTAGCCATCCGTTAGTATTTAGATAAATACCAACTTATTCAATGGTGATGAGGAGGAGGAGGAACCTGTTTTAACATAATTATGTCTTTGAAGATCCCCCACCCAACTCCCTAGTAAACATTTCTTTGAAAGAAAGTGCTAAACTCTGCTCAGCTGAATTGTAAGGAAAAGGAAATGGCGTCCTCTCCAGTTGGGATACATTTAGTATCTCCAGACCTAGTTAATGCAGTACAACAGCCCCATGTAAGCCCTTCTAGTTAAGCTCACCCCTTCTCAGATACCTGCTGTGCCTCTGGAAGGGAGATCCGAGAGCCAACATTCATGGGCAGTGTCCAAGTGCAGGCCGTGGGACGGTTTCTATTAGCTACCTCCATGTTCCTTTACTAAAGGAGTAGGAAGAAGATTGCATATCGAACACTTTCCTTGCCTTCTGAATTTCCAACCACTAAGAGACACCCAAGGAGCAGGCAGAGGAAACCATCAGCACTCTAGTAGACCTTGGAGTTAGACAGATAGTACGGAACACTCCTAGGCTTTCCCTGTGAAAGTCTGTCAAACTGGGAACAGGATCTTCCCATGGGCATCTTACTCATAGGAAAAGGACAAGGACGGGGCAAAGCTGAGACTCTCCTCCCACCCACCCATCTTTTTTCTGTTAAATCACCTATGTGATTCAGTCAAAGAAAGGAAGGGCAGCAAGAGAAACCAGGAGCTTTTCATCAATCTGTTCCCTTCATGTTGAAGGGAATACAAGAACAGGATAGTAAGTTTCTATCACTCAGCATCTCTTAGCTCTTGAGGTCTTGAACCTATCAGAATAATTGTCAATGTAATAACAAACTGAAAACAGTGCTCTCAGCTAAAGTATAATGTTATATACTTTCCATAATAGTTCTCAGAAGGCTTGGGTCACAAGCTTGAGGCTAGCCTGGCCTACATAAAAACACCTTGTCTCCAGAAAAAAAAATAGATATCCCCAAATATGAAATCTAAAGCATACTACGAGGCTATACCAACCAGATTTCCAATAAGCCACCATCCAACAGCAACCCCTGTCCCATTTAAGACTCTCTTAAGTTAGCTAAGCACAGACTGTGCCTCCAGAATGTTATGAAATATAGCATTGCTGTGCAATGGATTCAAACTTCTAAGGACACGTATATTAGACATTTTGCTGCTGTGGCTTATACGTAAGACAATTTTAAGAAGGAATGATTTGTTTTGACTCAGGCCTGGATAAATCTGCTGCTTTTAGACCCAGAGAAAAACTGAAATACCATGAAAACTGACGTAGCAGAAGAAACCTGTTCTTCTCACAGCATCCAGAGAA